TTTGCCGCCAGCCGTCTTTCCGGAAGGTTTGCCGGATCCCTGCCAACTGCTCTGAGACCATTGCCCGGGACGCCCCCAGGAGGATCCTGCCTGTCCTTGCTGGGGGTCTCCTGCTCCTTTCCCAGATCCGACCTTTCCTCCGTAACCCTTGCCTCCGTACTTCCCTCCTTGATCCTTTCCTTTTACTCCTGTCTTCCCTGTCTTTCCTCCTGAATCATATCCTTTTCCTCCTCCTGTCTTTCCTGTCTTTCCTCCTGTCCACGCGGACGTGAGAGGATCAACTTCCATTGGCTTCATCCTGGAATCGCTCCCTGATTTGGCAAAAGGGTTTTTCCAGTCTCGTTTTCCCTGGACATACGCTAAAATCTTTCGTTTCAACTCCTCATAAGTATCATGCAATTCCGTGTTCAATTCAAAGTGGCCTTTCATTGGCTCTGGAATTGATTGGATCACTGCTGTGATCTTCACGTCATCGGAACATTCTTCTGGGTTCGCAAGATCATCGTACTGTTGCACCAGAACTTCAAACTCAGCCAGCTTCTCTGGCAAACTGTCCAAACGATCGGTCGAGAAATCGTAACTCAAGATTGCTGTCATGAGTCCTCTACGCGTGTTTCGGTCTTTTGGGTCATATCGGGCGCATGTTTTCCGCCACATTTCGAAACCGTTTCCCTTTTCAAGTTTGCGGAACACCTTAGCCATTTTTTCCTTGACAAGGCCCACCAAACTATAAGCGAGATTAGCTGCATGCTGTTTTACAGGCGCGTCCACTGTTGCAAGTGTTATCGTCTCATGTCTCGTTCTTGCGCTCTCCATGTGTTCCAACATCTCGCTACTCACTGCACCTGCATAGTTTTCAAACTGAAACGACCAGTCCGGCCAGTCAGCATCTCTGCCCGAAAACTCTCTGACATTCTTCCCGAGAAGTTTCGTATCAATGACCCCTTGGGCCATCTTCCGGGACCGTTCCTAGAACTGTTCCCCGGGTTCCCCGTGGATCTTCTACCTACGATTTTCAAAACCACAGCTCCGCTACCATGTAAGAAAGCAGATGCTCTTTCCTGGGATCAGCTTGACCCAAGCCGGCTGCGGCGCAGGCAACGAGAGAAAGAGAGCGACGATAGACGAGAGAGGTGGAATTCCAGGAGGAGGAGGAGGAGGAGGAGGAGGAGGTAGGAGGAGGAGGAGGAGGAGGAGGGAGGAGGAGCAGGAGGAGGAGAGGAGGAGGAGGAGGAGGCGGCGGAGGCGGAGGCGGAGGCGGAGCGGAGGCGGAGGCGGAGGCGGAGGCGGAGGAGGCGGAGGAGGAGGAGGAGGAGGAGGAGGAGGAGGAGGCGGAGGAGGAGGAGGAGGAGGAGGAGGAGGAGGAGGAGGGGAGGAGGAGGAGAGGAGGGGGGGGAGGAGGCAGAGGAGGAGGAGGAGGAGGAGGAGGAGGAGGAGGAGGAGGAGGAGGAAGAGGAGGAAGAGGAGAGGAGGAGGAGGAGGAGGAGGAGGAGGAGGAGGAGGAGGAGGAGGGAGGAGGAGGAGGAGGAGGAGGAGGAGAGGAGGAGGAGGAGGAGGAGGAGGAGGAGGAGGAGGAGGAGGAGGAGGAGGAGGAGGAGGAGGAGGAGGGGGAGGAGGAGGGAGGAGGAGGGAGCAGGAGGGAGCAGGAGGAGGAGGAGGAGGAGGAGGAGGAGGGAGGAGGAGGGAGGAGGAGGGAGGAGGGGAGGGAGAGGAGGAGGAGGGAGGAGGAGGGAGGAGGGGGAGAGGGAGGAGGGGGAGGGAGGAGGGAGGAGGGAGGGAGGGAGAGGGGGGTAGGGAGGAGGGAGGGAGGGAGGGAGGGAGGGAGGGAGGGAGGGAGCGGAGGAGGAGGAGGAGGAGGAGGAGGAGGAGGAGGAGGAGGAGGAGGAGGAGGAGGAGCCCGCCTCGACGCGGACGGCCCTCCGTCCTGCCTTGAGCCCAGCCCGCTCCGACGGCCGCGTTCCCGTGCCCCAGCGCAAGAGGCCGCCCAGGGGGGCATGCTCATCAAGCAGTGGCGAAGCGTCCTGGCTCGCCTGTAGCCCTGCCAAACAATGTTCTAAGAACCTTTTGCGGTTCCCACGAAATGTTCTTAGAACATGTCTGGTTGGGACTGCCTTGCTTTGGCACATCGGGTTAATGTTCTAAGAACGTTGTTCTCGTCCTTAGGACACTTTTGGGTTCCAAGAGCATCTCGTGGTAGGACTATAGGAAATGCCGGGACGGTCGGTCCCTGCTCAAGTTCAGGGCGGCCTCCGCGGGTCGTTTGGGGGCTCAGGGTACTCAACAACAACTCCAGGGAGGAGCAACCGCCCGGACCCGATAATGGGCGTTTGCTCAGCGGCTCAGGGCGTTTGCTGAACAGCCCCGCCCTCTGCGATTCCTCCCGTGGGTGCGCTTCCTGAGCGGCTTCGCGTGTCGGGGTGGTTCTTCTGGGGGTGGGCTTCCTGCCCTCCGAGAGCGGCCCAGCGCGGCCAAGATCCTGGCGCGCGGGGCATCGCAGCAAGGATGGCGGCCTGGCCAGGGAAGCGCTGGCGGCGTGCGGCCGTGCTGGAGGGCCACGCCTCCCGTCCGCTCGCCTCGTGCGCGTGGCCGCTCGCTGCCCGCCGCGCCGCCCTGCCCGCGGCGACGTCGGGCAGCGCGCGGCCGCCGGTGCGCTGGCAGGCCCGGTCAGCAGACGCCGCCTCCGCTTGGGGGCGGCAGCCTCGAGCTCAGCCTTTCGGGCACCACATCGCTGGCCGACTTTCGGGCCGGGCGAAAGGGGGGGATTGGGAAAGGGGGGGTTACGAAATCTGCTGCATGCAGCTGGTTTCGGCCTCACCGAGGGGCCCATTCCTCGAGACATGGGCGCCTCCGGCGCCGGGAGGCGCCGGGAAAATCAGCTACGTGAGCTGGTTCTCAAACCCCCCCTTTGCTATCCCCCCCTTTCGCCCGACCCGAGACATTGCGGGGTCGCCGCCCTCCTCCTTTTCCTCCTCCTCCTCCTCCTCCTTCTCCTCCTCCCTCCTCCCTCTCCCGCGTCTCCCGCATCGACCTCACCATCGACTCCATGTCCGGCGGCCGTGAGTGGCCTGCTGGCGGCGCGGCCCGTCCCGCCCGCCGGCATACAGTCGGGGCCCTGAAGAAGGAACCCTTTTGGTTGGGGAGGGGCTCCGCGTTCCTTAATTGGGTAGTCGAAGGCCAGACTGTCAGGTTGGATTGGGCCCCAAGGGCCAATCTGGCTTGGCCAAACTGGATGATTTGGGTTATTCGCCAGTCTGGATTCGCGTTGGCTCCCTCGCCAGATTGCCCCCGTTTGCCAGATTGGGCCTGCCAGATTGGCGCCAGATTGGCTTCGACTACCCAGCTTAAGTGTTTCGCAGTTCGCCTTAGATATTGCTTAGGGTTTCGATAGGCAATCGAAGCTTAACGTATGGAAAAAAAGGGGCCTCGTTCCTGATTTAGGGTTCCTTGGGTCAGCGACCCGACTGTGGACAGGACATGCGTCGCACCGTGGATGCGTGAACTCCTTCTCCTCCTTCCCTTCCGCCTCATTGGGGACGACGCTGTGCAGGTTCGCCCGCTGGCCTTTGGGATGTGGCACGCTGGTGGGACAGCCTTCGGCCAGTCTCTCACGTACGCCATGCGGGGTGATTCCCCCCTCCTCCGAGCTGCGAGCTGTCGTCGGAGGGAGCACTGTAGGGTCCCAAACCCGGATAGCGGGTCGCTCGAAGGGCAAGGGAAGGCTCGTCGAAGATCTTTGGAAGGACCTGGAGAGAGCTTCCGAAGGAGCTTCTGGAGAGCTTCCCGGCACGCGTATTGGCAAACGCTTAGAAAGGCTGGCCAGAACACGTTTCCGGCTCAAGCAGCTCGCGCCGAGGCTTCCTTCGAAGAGGAACACACCACATAAACATACTCTTTTGGCGCTCCGCGCGGAGCGCCGAAAGTTTATGTTTATGTGGTTCTCTCTTCTTCGATTCCTGTCCTCCACGCTGCGAGCTGTCGTCGGAGGGAGCTAAATGGTGCGCCCATGGAGCGCGAAGTACCGCGGCGGCGGCACTATCCACCCACCAAACCACTCCAACCCGAGCCGAAGGCCTCAATCAGCCGTCCATTTCCAGGGGGGGGGGGGGGTCTCGGGGAACATTGAGGAAGTACATACGGAAGCCGTGCCCCCCCCACCCGAAATTCGGGTCTTCGGGTTGGCTTGGGGTGGTCTGGTAGGTATCAGAGCGTGAACTACCTACCTCGCTCTCGCTTCCAGGCAAAGCCAAGCCATACCACGCGCCTCCTCGTCAAGCGGCCTGACCAGTACAGGCTGCCATTTGGCATCGTTTGGTATCTCTTGGAAGCGAGGGCGGTCAAGAGCGAGGTAGGTTTGCTTTCCCCCTGAGGTAGTCGGACACTCACCACCCACCAAACCACCCCAACCCAACCCGAAGGCTCAGATTTACCCTCGATTTCCAGTAGGGGGGGGGTCGGGAAACATCGAAAAAACACATATGGAACCCTTACCCCCCCCACCCGAAATTCGGGTCTTCGGGTTGGGTTGGGGTGGTCTGGTAGGTAGTCAGACACTTGCGCCGCTGCGGCCGGCTTGGTGCGCGAGCCCCCGCGGCGTGGGCCCCCACCTCGGGCGTCGCCGCCCTCGGCCTCGGCGGCGGGCCCACGTCGCTCCCGGCCAGGAGCGCAGCCCCCCAGGCAGGAGGCCGCGCGCGGCGCCCCGTCCACGCGGCGCTGGTCCATGCCAATGCGCATGTCGTTCGTTTGCGCGTACCTTTTCGCTCCTCCTCCCTCGTCGTCGTCCTCCTCCTCCTCCTCCTCCTCCTCCTCCTCCTATTCCTCCTCCTCCTCTTCCTGCTCGTCGTCCTCCTCCTCCTCCTCCTCCTCCTCCTCCTCCTTCCCTCTCTCTTCTTATTCTCTCTTTCCTCTTCTTTCTTCTCTCTTCTCTCTTCTCTCCTCTCCTCCTCCTCCGTTTCCTCCTCCTCCTCCTCCTCCTCCTCCTCCGTTCCCATCTTTGTCGCGAGGCCGCCGCGAACGAGACGGCCGAGGCGCACGCCTTCATCCAGGGCACGCTCGCTGCGCAGCTCGGGGAGGACGGTCACCGCGCCAGCGCTGTCGTGGGGGGTGGACGAGGGCGGAGCCAGGGAGGGACGAGGAGGGAGGACGAGCCGGACGGAGGAAGAAGCAGGAGGAGGGAGCAGGAGGGAGGGGGAGTGAGGGACGAGGGGGGGCGAGGAGGAGGGAGGAGGGAGGAGGAGGAGGAGCTGTTGATCTGGAAGGCGAGGCCCGAGGGAGGGAAAACTACCCCGAGCCCCCCCCTCATAATTGACGTTTACGAAGCGGCCATGGGTGTATACTGAGCTCCCCTGCCATGCTCGATTCCTTCCTTGGGTGTGTTTGCTAAGCGGCTGTGCTTGTCGGGGTGCTTACTGTGGGGATGGTTTCTCTGCTCTCGAAGGCCGCGTCCTTGGGATGGCTGTCCCTGGTCGGATCTTGATTGGCTGCCCCCTTGCCCTTGGGATGTTGCATGTCTAGGGGCAGGGCGCGCTTCGGATTGCGCGGAGGAGGATGCGGAGGTGGAGGGAGGGAGGAGACGGGAGGCGGGAGGCGGGAGGAGGGAGGGGGAAGCGCTCGCTCTCTATCACTCTGTTCCTTTTTCTTTCTCTTTCTCTCTCTCTTTCTCTCTCTCTCTTCACACGCACACGCGATGTTAATGTTATTCTCGTTTTATCCTCCTGTTGCCCTTGGAGCTTGTTTGGCTGTGCGAGATGAGGTGGTGACGCGGATGATGGGGTCCCGATGTTGGTGGTGCTATTGATGACGTTGACGATGGTGTTGATGTTCATGATGACGTTGATTGTGATAACGGTCGTGATATCGATAGTGGGGTCGATAGTGAGATCGATTGTGGGATCGGTAGCCAGATCGATTGTGAGATCGATCGAATGAAATAGATCGAGTGAGATCGATTGTGAGATCGATCGAGTGAGATCGATTGAGCGAGGCCGATTGAGATCGATCTTGAGATCGATTAGTGAGACCGGTCGAGTGAGACGTTGGTTCTCCCCCCCCTGAACCTCCTTATCACCAGAAGGGTGGCCGTAGAGGTATACACATGTATAAGTGTATATTTACATACGTTTGTATATACGTGTATGCATATATGCATATGTATATATACATGTATATGTATAGGTATATGTACATGTATTTATACGTCCATATGTGTGTAGTATGTATATACGTGTATATGTGTATGTATATGTATATGTATGCATGTATGTGTATGTTTATATGTATGCGTATATGTATACGTACATGTATTTGTACGTGTCTATGTATATGCCCACATACGTGTACATGTATATGTATGTGTGTACTTCGGTCTATGTGTCTGCATATGCATGTGTATATGTATATGTTTATGTAAATGCTTGAACATGCGTATGTGCGTATGTGCATGTGCGTGTCGTTGTAGATGTGTCGGTATGTGTATATGTATAGGTATGTGTATATGTACATGTACATGCACACACCTTTATACATATATATATGTATATATATATATGTATAGGTGTGTATGTATATATTGTTACGGGGTACGAACCCATTGGATTCGGACCGCTCCCTGATCAAAAGACCTGCCACTAAGACTGTACGGGGGTGCCGGGGGGGTCCACATCTTGACGTCTTCTGGCCCCCGTGTATTTGATATTTATTATTTCTTCGTCGTCCTCCTCTTCGAAGTCGGCCCCATGGTCTCGCTTGGAACGCGTGCTGACCCGGAGTCCGGTGGAGACGAGGGCCCCCCCCCCCCCACACAAGGGCAGAAGACTTCATAACCCCCTGTCTTTTCTTCTCCTCCCCAGAGGTTTCCAGAGGCCTTCAGGGAGGTACCTGGAGGTCACTGGAAGTCTTTGGAGGCCTCCACACGTTTTCAGAGAAAATGTTCAAAATGTCCATTACTTAGGATCTTGAACCTTCCCCCTCCTCCCGATGCCTTCTCCTCAATTCCTCCTGCTCGTCCCTCTGTGCATCCTGCTCGCCATCGCCACCTTGGCTCGAGCCGCATATAGGCCCAGCCTGCAGCAATACAGCGGGCCAAAGACAGCAAGAGGGTGCGAGCGATACGACAGGAGGACCTGATTGGACACCCTCCTTGAAGGATCCAGGATGGAGTTTTGGGACGTCTATCGCTCGTTTTGGGCCTTCGACGGTCTCAGCAGACCTCCAGAGACCTCCTCCTCCTCCTCCGTCTCTTTCGCCCCCCCCTCCCCTCCATCGCCGCCTCCCCAGCCCCTCTGCTCTTCCCTCCGGCCACCTCCTTGTGTATCTCCTCCTCGTCCAGCCCTCCCTTCTGTATCTTCTCCTTCTCCGCCTCCACCTTCTTCTCCTCCCCTTCCTCCCCTTACTCCTCCTCCTCCTCCTCCTCCTCCTCCTCACCCTCCTCCTCCTCCTCCTCCTCGTCCTCCTCCTCTCCTCCTCCTCCTCCTCCCTCCTCCCTCCTCCTCTCACTCCTCCTCCTTCTCCTCCTCCTTCTCCATCTCCTCCTCCTCCTTCTCCTCCTCCTCCTCCTCCTCCTCCTCCTCCTCCTCCTCCTCTCCTCCTCCTCCCCCTCTCTCCTCCTCCTCCTTCTCCTCCTCCTTCTCCATCTCCTCCTCCTCCTTTTCCTCCTCCTCCTCCTCCTCCTCCTCCTCCTCTGCCCAACCTCTCCTCCTTCTCCGACCGTGCTTGGACTGTTGCATTGCCCCAGCGCTTGTTTGGGTCGGGAACTCCGGGTCGCAGCCTGTGCACGTGCAGGTCGCTCAAAGAGCTGAAGTTGAGGACCACCTCGCTTTCAAAAGGGGGGCCTGGTTTCTTCAAAGCGGTTCTCTCGGGCGCTCGTTGCGAATCCAGGCTCCGCTGGGGCCAAACACGGCTGTCGCTTATTGTTCAAAGAGGTGCCTCGTGGCAGGATTCTGACAGGCCGTCCGCGGCGGGGGCCGATGAGATTCCCGCGCGCGGCCGAGTTGGCGTGCTCGCGTCCCTCTTCTTCTTTGGCCCTGCCCCAGACAGGCTCACTCCTGGTTCTGATTTGGTGGGCCTGTTTTCCACCACCATCACCGTAAGTTGGAGGGGGAAAGGAGGAGGAGGAGGAGGAGGAGGAGAACGACGAAGAGGAGGAGGAGGAGGAGGAGGAGGAGGAGGAGGAGGAAGAGGAGGACCCTCTCCCCCTCCAACTTATGGTGGTGGTGGTGGTGGAAAGCAGGCCCACCATGATAGGATCCGGCAGATCTAGTGGAGAGGAGGTGCGGGAGATGTTCGATTTCATCTTCAGCGTCCTGGTGGGCACCGCCCTGGGCGCCTACAACCGCAATGCCATGAAGCCCTGCCTCGATGAGACCTTCGCTGCCGCTGTGAGGACCGTGAGGGAGAAGCTGGCCGGAGAGCACCAGGCGAGCTCGCCCTTCCCTCCCACTACTCGGCCCCATCCTTGCCTCCTCCTTCTGCCCCCACCCCACCCCCCCCCCCCCGCTCCTCCTTCCCCTCCTCTCCCCTCCGCCTCCCTCTCCTGCTCCCTCCCTCTTTCCCCGTCCTCAGCACCGCCTCCTCTATCCTTCCCTCTCCCCTTGGCACCGCTCGGACGTGTGCACTCTTCCTTCGGCGAGGACCATCGAGGAGCATCCCTGATCATTCTGCGAACATGCCACGCACGAAACCGACAAAAAGCATAGGGAGTGGACGTCCGAGCGATGCCCAGACACCGCCTCCCCTATCCTTCCCTCTCCCTCCTCCTTCCGGCTCCCCCCACGATAGCTCCCATTCCGTGGGAGGAGGAGGAGGAGGAGGAGGAGGAGGAGGAGGAGGAGGAGGAGGAGGAGGAGGAGGAGGAGGAGGAGGAGGAGGAGATGGAGGAGGAGGAGGAGGAGGAGGAGGAGGAGGAGGAGGAGGCCTCCCCTGCCCCTCCTCGAGCCACCGTCCTCCGTGGCCGCGATGGCCTGGCAGCTGGCAGGAGGCCTGCGCTCCATGGCGCCACACGCGTCTCGCAGGGCGCGTGTTCGCCCCACCCCCTGGACACCAGGAACGTGCGCAGACCTCCTCCTCCTCCTCCTCCTTTCCTCCTCCTCCTTCCTCTCCTCCTCCTCCTCCTCCTCCTTTCCTCCCCTCCCTCCTCCTCCTCCTCCTCCTCCTCCTCCTCCTCCTCCCCCTATTTGTCGTCATCGGTGCACTTCGCAGGCTCTAGCGACACACTGACGACACCATCTTCGGCAACGCTGCGTTGAGATCCTCGCATTCCTGTACGTGTTGTCCATGTTCTGCAAGGCTGACCTGGCCGAACTTAAACGTTAGGTAGTCTGGCACCTGTTTTTTCGGCTTCCCCAGCTTCAGTAGGCAAACCCGCCCGCTGCGGTTGATGCGAGCAGCAGCACTCGTCTCCAATCGTCCGTGTGGATGTTCCCAGGCCTTGCCGAGGCCCCGCGACGGCCAGGCAAGAAAAGACACCCTCAGTCCAGACGCAAAGATTTGACTTCGCTGTCCGCCCGCACCGCGCTGCGACGTTCCGCGCGGACCTGTCGGTCTTCTCTACCATTCCCAGAACAGGCGAGCTGATCGACGCACTCAGGTGACGCTTCACCACGACATTCCTCTTACGACAACCCAGACCACTGAGATCTGCACGGGTACGTTTGACACCACGCCCTCTTCCGCTCGTCCACAGCATTGGTACTTCACAACTGCGTCCTTACGACGAGTTGGGGAGACACCGTTTCCCCACAGCCAATTGTACACCATGGGGCCCTGTCCGTGCTGTGGCCAACCCTTCCCACGTCCCATGCTGTGAGCCCTTTGCGACATGCCCAGCGTAGTGGCCGCGTGTCTCGGAGCGGTCCGGCCCGCGCACGGGCCAGACAGTGAGCCCGGACCGGGTTTCTCCGCAGCCATGGCACGGGCACAGCCCTGGCGTGACGCCCTCCTCGACGCCGTGGATGTTTGCCCCCACCACGCTACAACTTTTGGCCCGTCCGCCCCAAAACTGTGGCAGGCAAAACAAGTTTCACGGACAGAGGTTCTACGATCGTAGGCATCGGCAATGACCATGAAGCCAGGCTGGCCTCGGCGGATGCGCCTCTGCCTTGTGCACCGTTCTTTTCCCATCGCTCAGATCTGCGCGTTTGCCCCGTCGCGCCTATGCTCGTTTGCCCCGTAGCGCACATGCTGGGGCGATTCGACTAATCGATTGCCTCCTCCTGCTTCTTCCTGCTGCTCTCTCCACCATGCCCTCTGCTCTCTGCTCCCTCATCCTTCTCTACCCCCCGCCCCCCACCTCCTCCTCCCCCGATCCTCTTCCTCCTCCTTCTGTCCTCCGTCTCCTCCTCCTTCTCCTCAGCCTACCTTTGTCATGGTCCGTGCTTTCTCCTCCATCAAGTGCCTCCTCCTCCTCCTCCTCCTCCTCCTCTTCCCCCTCCTCCTAACCCCCGTTATCCACCGTTCTTTCTCCTTTTTGTTTCCCTCAGCTTCGTCGCCGTACCCCTCCGTCTACAGCTGCTCCTTCTCCTCCCTCCTCCTCCTCCTCCTCCTCCTCCTCCTCCTCCTTCTCCTCTCCACGTTTTGTTTTCCTCCGCTTCGTCGCCGTACCCTTCCGTCTACAGTTCCTCCTTCTCCTCCCTCCTCATCCTCCTCCTTCTCCTCCTCGCTTCTCCCTCAAGCCATTCTGGCACGGAGTTCGCCGTTTGCTGCAACGCCACCGCTCCCGCGGCCAGCGGGCTGAAAGCATCGCTCGACAAAGCTGTCCTATTCGACCGCCTCTCGGGTCAACATCCAACCTGGGAAACGGGTGGGGTGGGCCGTCGGGGAGGAGCTCCGCCATCAGGTGGCAGCCTTACGCCTCAATAGCCACCCCCCTCAAAGCTCACGACCAGGTGAAGCGCGTGGGGACCTGCATCAAATATGCATCGGCCGCGGATGGCACGGGCTCCGAACTTCCCGCCGCCGCCGATGCCCGAGTTCTCCGCGCCGTGGCGAGGCCCCCCCCGCATCGGGCGCCTCCCCGAAGGCGCTTGCGCGAGAGCCCGCTCCGCGAGGTCCATGGTGGCAAGCAGGTGCACCGCTGGCGCTGACATCCAAGCGCCCATCAGCGAAGCGCGCGACCTCTGCAGCGACGCGCTGTTCGCCGCCATCCGCCACGAGGGGCGATCATGACTATCCCAGTGGGCTCTGTATGCCCTCATATCATTGCTCCAGTCTATGTCCGGGGGCGCCGCGCCATCGCGCAGCGGGGGGCGCTCCTTGGGAGTGCGCGGGCAAGTGCGAAGCGGCCCGCGACCATGCGCGAGCCTTCAAGGAGGCGGCCCCGTAGGCAGCATCCGGCAAGCCCTTGCCCAACTAGAACGGAGCTGGCCAGCTCTCGGCACGACGCGCGACGACTGGGGCGCGCGCCTGTCTGGCTGCGCCTATTCGTGGGGATGTCCACGCACGTGCGCAGAGCTTTACAGAGGCGGGCCTTCCCCCGATGTGGGGGCGGTCGCGGCAGTTGAACAAGGCTTCGGCTACTCCGCCAACGCCTGGCCCCAGAGAGCCAAGGGTGAAGCCAATCGCACTGCGTGGCAACTCGGCCTCCTGCGCAACTATCTCCGAGGCGGTGGCCGCGCCCCACGGAGGAAAGTGCGGGCGGGGATCTCGGCCGACCCGCCCCCGCCTGCCGCTGGTGTAGCAAAGCAGAGGAGACCCAGGAACACGCCGTCTGGAGATGCCCGTGCTGGGCCAACGAGCGAACGGCCCTGGCTACCATGATCTCAGAGGAGCAGCGGAGAGACCCCATCGCCGCACGCTCGGAACTGGGCTCCTGCAGGAGTGCGCTCAACCCCTCGTCCTGCAGGCCACCCTCGCCCGACACGAGCTCCCGCGGCACATCCCCAGACCGCCGCCAGAGGGCCATGAGTAGGACCACCTCGGGGAATGTACCGACCCCGCCTCGGGAGCTGGGTGGGCCTCCGTGGCCACAGACGCGGCGCGCTCGCATCGGGCCCACCGCCTCGTCGTCGGGGCAGGATTCGGCGTGTCTCGCGGGCGAGATCATTGTCTAAACCGCCCCGTCCGAGCATGCGGCCTGGCGCAGCCAGCGCAGTGCGCCGACGCCCTGGCGCTGTTCCATCTCGCCGCCATGGCGGAGAGGCCCGTCTGCACTTCCGTCGGTGATCAAAGCGTTGTCGGCGAGGCAGTCCCCGCATACCAAAGGCTCACAAGCCGACCTCTGGGAAAGAGCCCATCGGGTGGTGCAAGCCGAACTCGACCTTTTAAAGTTCAAAAAGGTCGACAAGGCACCTCGGAGAGCACGGGATCGGCGGAGGCCGCGTCTCTCTGATCGCCGAGGCCTTCGGCCGCCGCGCCGCCGAGCGGGCAACTGCGGTGGCACCGCGCGCGCTCCCTGCTGCAGGATGTCGCCGATGCGGCCAAGGGACGGCGACATTCGAGGTCGTCCATCACAGTGCCGCGGTCGCGCTATACAGTCGGGGCCCTGAAGAAGGAACACTTTTCGTTGGGGAGGGGCTCCGCGTTCCTCAAGTGTTTCGCAGCTTGCCTCAGGCTTTCCTGAGGTTTTCGATGCGAAATCGAAGGTTCACCTATGGAATACAAGGGGCTCCGTTCCTTATTTAGGGTTCCTCAGGTCAACGCCCCGACTGTACGACCGTCGTCGCCACGCACTCCCGCTTCCGGGCAGGCGTGCTGGATGCTCCAGGTCGTAACTCCACGGGCGGACGTCCAAGCTGGTCATTGCAGGGGGCGGCGGGCACGAGCCGCCGGGCCCGCCTGGTGACGCGCCCCACTCCCAAGGCCCACCGGGGCCAGGGTAGCATGATGAACTTGACGATCCACGGGGCATCCTTCGCGGCAACTTCGAAGGCGACGCAAAGGACGCACTCGGCCTCTGCGGGGCCCGCGGGGACGACGAGGACGACAGTGCTCACCCACTAACTACACTGCCGCGACGGCGACGGTGGTGACGCGGATGACGATAGCCCACCTCCAAATTCAAGCAGGCACATGGCAACAGCGACCCAGGAGGGGAAGGTCCACCAGGACCCCACCTCGGGCACTCCACTGTGACGCAGGACAGCACAAGGGCGGGCCACACGAGAGGCAGCGCGGTCCCTACCGTCTTCCCCGACACAGGCAGCCATACACCAGTGCGCAACCGCGCCAGCAGCGCCACCCGCCTGGGAGAGGACTTGCGCATGATCAGCGAGGGGTCCTGGACAACGTCCCATGGGGGCAGCTCCGTCGCCCCAGCTCCTTGGGCTGGCCAGTGCCGTCGCGCACCGAGGCCCCCAACGCGGTGCTTCCGGCCACCAGGCAAATCCCCCGCCCCGCCAGGGAACGGAGACCAAGGGCCCTACAGCCGGGGCCCCGAAGAAGGAGCCCTTTTGGTTGGGGAGGGGCTCCGCGTTCTTGAAGTGTTTCGCAGCCTGCCTCAGGTGTTCCTTAGTCTTCGATCGGAAATCGAAACTCAACTTATGGAGAAAAAGGGGCCTCGTTTCAAGGATTGCAAAAAAAACCCAGGATTGCAAAAAAAACCAGGATTGCAAAACAACCCGAAGGATTGCAAAAAAACCCGAAGGATTGCAATCCTGGGTTTTTTTTGCAAAATTTAGGGCTCCTTAGGTCAACGCCCCGACGGTAGTGCAACCCACGAGGGGTGCAGGCGCCCGAGCGGCACCCGTGCAGTGCAGCACCGACCCGCGGCACCCTCCCGCTGGAGAGAGAGGTGCGGGCGGAGGGTCAGGAGGGGAGAAAACACACAGACACAATTAATCGGCGATTCCCAGAAAATATGGGAGAATATGGGAAGTGGGGGGGAAGACAAAAGCCCAGAAAACATAGGAAAATATGGAGGAGATTTTTATTTGTGTGCATTTATTTGTGTGTCTCAGTTCCCCTTCAGAAGGGAGCTGGTCTCCTTCGCCCACGGACCAGGCCTGGTCTTGATTGGTGCGCTCTCCGCCCCTCTCTCCCTCGCCCTCCTCTCTCTTCCCCTTCCCCTTCCCCCTCCCCTGCCCTTTTCCCCTCCCCTTTCCCCTCCCTCTCCCTCTCCCCCTCTTTTTCCTCTTCCCTCTCCCTCCCCCTCTCCCTCGCCCTCCCCTCCTCTTTCTCCCCTTCCCTCTCCCCCCTCCCCTCTCTCTCCCTCCTCGCCGTGCGGGCCCCCTTTTCCCGCCCCCGGGCCTGCGCAGGCGCACGGGGCAGGAGCGCACCACTCGCAGCCTCCCGACCACAAGGCCGGCGCGCCGGAGCGCCGGGGGCGTTGCGTCGGGAGGGGCCTCTGGGCAGGGTTGGGTCCAGGTGCGATGAGGCCCCGAGTCCTCGCAGGCAGGGATGGGGGGGCGGGAGGGGTGGGGTGGGGGAGGGGGAGGAGGAGGAGGAGGAGGAGGAGGAGGAGGAGGAGGAGGAGGAGAGGAGGAGGAAGGAGGAGGAGGAGAGGAAGGAGGAGGAGGAAAGGAGGAGGAGAGGAAGGAGGAGAGGAAGGAGGAGAAGGAGGAGGAGAGGAAGGAGAAGGAGGAGGAGGAGGAGGAGGAGGAGGAGGAGAGGATGGAGAAGGAGGAGAGGGAGGGAGGGAGACAGGGAGGGAAGGGGGGAGGACGGGTGGGAAGAAGGGAGGGGGGAGGGGAAGGGATGATGATGATGATGATGATGATGATGATGATGATGATGATGATGATGATGATGATGATGATGATGATGATGTTGATGATGATGATGATGGTGATGTTGCTGCTGCTGCTGCTGCTGATGATGATGATGATGATGACAATGGTGATGGTGGCGATGATGATGATTATGAGGGTGATGATGATGTAGATGGAGTTGACGATGCTGAGGATGAGGATGGGATTACGATGAGGATGATTCTGATGCGTATGGTGATGATGCTGATGATGATGATCATGTTGCTGATGCTGCTGATGATGATGCTGATGATGATCATGATGCCGATGCTGCTGATGACGATGATGCTGCTCATGATGACGCTGATGATGATGATGCTGATGCTGCTGATGATGATTAGGAGGTGCTGGTGGGATGAGGAGTACTACAATGATGTTATTGATGATGATGCGGAGGATGCTGATGCTGCTGTGGATGATGATGTTGATGATGATGATGCTGCTGCTGATGCTGATGATGCTGTTGTTGATGATGATGATGACGATGGTGCCACTGATCATTGTGGTGATGGTGACGCTACTGATGATCATGCTGCTGCTGATGATGCTGATACTGCTGATGATTATGATGATGCTGACGATCGTGATGATGCGGGCGAATACGATCATGCTCATGCTGGTGATGCTGATGATGATGCTGGTGATGATGGTGCTCACGACGACTATGATGCTGCTGCTGATGCTGAGGATGATGATGATGATGCCGATGCTGATGCTGCTGATGATGGTGGTGATGATGAGTCAATGCTGATGATGATGTTGATACGAAGGTGGATGAGGCTGATTTTGATGATACTGACGCTGATGCTGATGAGGATGATTCTGAGGATGGTGATCATTGTGATGTCGGTGATGATGCTGATGCTGCTAATGCTTATGCTGATGGTGATCATAACGATACTGATGCTGATGATGCGGATGGTGATGCTGATGCTGATGTTGATACTACTGGTGATGATGAGATGATGATGGTGATGATGTTGAGGATGATGAGATGATGATAATGATGATGATGATGTTGATGATGAGGATGCTACTTCTGGTGACGTTGAGGATGCTGATGCTGATGCTGCAGATGGTGTTGATGGTAATGCTTATCATGATGCGGATGAGGATGCTGTTGCGCATGCTGCTGATGATGATGTCGATGCTAATGTTGATGTTGATGCTGATGATGGTGTTGATGATCCTACTGATGCTGATGCTGCTGCCGATGATGCTGATGATGGTAATGCTGATGATGATGCTGATGATGACGCGGGCGGACATGATGAAGCCGATGATGATGCTGTTGCTGATGATGATGCTGACGACGATGATGATGGTGCTGATGATGATGATGACGATGGTGATGATGCTGTTGATGGTGATGATTATGCTTGTATGGATTTCGACGATTTTGACTCAGGTGATGGTGATGATGATGAGGATGATGCGGATGATGATGACGATGATGACGACCATGATGATGGGGCTGATGATGATGATGGTGATGATGATGGCGTGATGGTGATGGTGATGGTGATGATGATGATGCTGATGCTGATGATGACGATTATGATGATGATGATGATGATGGTGATGATGATGATGATGATGATGATGCTGATGATGATGATGATGATGACGATGATGATGATGATGCTGATGATGATGATGATGATGATGATGATGATGATGATGATGATGATGATGATGATGATGAGGAAGACGACGATGACGATGATGATGGTACTTTCTCTTATTCTCTCTCCTCGCGCGCGCCTAGGTTTCTGTAGCTTCTGGGCTCAAGCCCTTGATTTGAAAACCACCCGGGCTCCATCCTTGAAGTTGTTTCAACTTTCAACCTTCAGGATCATCATTGGCGAGGAAGTCTCAGGCGAAACGCCATGCCTCGCCTACGGACACGTCTCGCGGTGCGACAGGGAGGAGCTGTCTAAACGACAAAGGAAAGGAGGATGGGGCGCAGGAGGAGGAGGCGAAAGAGGAGGAGGAGGAGGTCCTCCTGCACAGGGGGAGGACGACGACGAGTGCAGCCACGGGCGAGCGCGCCCCACAGGCGGCGATCTCGTCTCAGGTGAGCGCGCTGGCCGGCAAGGGGGGCAACCTGAACTTGACCTGAGCCAGAGGCAGGGGCTGGATCCCGTGCGAGGGGGAGGCTGGCGTCTGTGAAAGTCACGAGGGGAAGAAACACACAGCCACAATTCATTGTCGATGCCCCGGGAAAATGGGAAATTATTGGAAGTGGGGGTGAAGACGAACACCCATGAAATATGGGGAAATATGGGAATCGTGTTATTTGTGTGTATTTAGATGTGTGTCCCTGGGCCCCTTCATAAAGGAGCGGATCGCCCGGGGGGGAGCATTACGTGTATCCAGTGGCGCCGACAGCCAATGTTCGACAAGAATTCTTGAGAAGTCTTTGTAATTATGCCCCCGCCCTCTGAGCTGTCCGCAACTTCAGCCCTTGCCCCCCACCCCCAGCAGTAGGAGGAGGAGGAGGATGAAGATGAAGATGATGATGATGATGATGATGATGATGATGATGATGATGGTAATGATGACGATGTTGATGATGATGATGGTGATGATGATGTTGCTGATGATGCTGATGTTGATGATGATGTTGATGATGTTGATGCTGATGCTGATGCTGATGCCGATGCTGATGCCGATGCTGACGATGATGACGACGATGGTGATGCCGATGATGGCGATGCTGATGGTTATGGTGATGATGATGTTGCTGCTGCGGATGATGGTGATTATGGTGAAAATGAGGTTGTTGATCATGATGGTAGCGATGTTGATGATGTCGATGATGTTGGCGACGATGTTGATGATGATGCTAATGACGATGATCACGATGATGATGCCGACGATGATGATGCTGCTGATGATGATGATGCTTGTGGTCATGCTGATTATGATGATGATGATGCTGACGATGATGCTCATGCTGCTGATGATGCTAATGCTGCTGGTGATGATGACCAGGATGAACAGGATGATGCCGATGCTGATGATGATGGTGCCGCTGATGATGATGCTGGTGCTGATGCTGATGGTGACGTCGCTGATGCTGATGATGTTGTTGATGATGATGCCGATGACGATGATGCTGCTGATGATGACGATGGTGATGATGATGCTGCTGCCGATGGTGATAATGATGATGATGCTGCTGCTGATGCTGATGATGATGCCGATGGTGATTACGATGATGGTACAGGTGATGGTGATGAGTATGCTGATGCTGATGCTGATGAGGATGATGCTGCTGCGGAGGATGATGACACGGCGGATGATACTGATGCTGATGGTGATGCTGATGGTGTTGATGATGATGGTGATACCGAGGATGAGGATGCTTATGCTGCTGTTGATGATGATTTATGATGATGGCGATGCTGGTTCTCCAAGTAGGTTTGTCGTATAGGAGTCCCAGCTCAAACCTTATTGATTCGTCCGTTGCCCCCCCCCACTTCCTGTGCCCCCTCCTAATTCCTATGGCTATACTTATCCCTATGCCTATGCCGTCCCTTCTAGCTCCTATGCCTATGCCTATGCCTATGTTTATGCCTCTGCCTATGAACCACCTCTCGCTTGTTTGCTCTTGCTTGCGCTTGCTGGATTGCATTCGGTCGATGGCTCTTGCTTGCTTCTTATTGCTCGCGTGCGCTTGCTTGTTTCCGCGTGCTTGCTTGCGCTTGCTTGATTTTGCTTCCCCCGTCCTCCGCCCGTCCTGCCCCCGTCCTCCGTTCGTCCCCCTCCCATTCTCCTTTCGTCCTTCTCCTGTCCTCCTATTTATGTGGAGTCAACGCTGGCTGATATGATGATGCTGATGCTGCTGATGATGCTGATGACGATGCTGTTGTTGATGATGGTAATGCTCATGCTGATGATGCTGGTGATGACCCTGCTGCTGCTGATGATGATGATGATGATGATGATGATGATACTGGTGGTGGTGGTGGTGATGCTGCTGATGATGATGGTTGTGATGAGGGCGAGGATGCTGATGGTGATGCTGATACCGATTATGATGATTATGGTGACGAGGATGATGCTGATGCGGATGATGATGCTGATGCTGAGTATGATGATGCTGATGATGATGATGCTGATGATGATGATGATGCTGATACTGATGCTGATCATGCTGATGCTGATGATGATGCGGAGGTGGAGGATGAGGAGGATGAGGATGACGAGGAGGACGAGGAGGAGGAAACCGAGGAGGGTGAGAAGGTGGAGGCGAAGAGGAGGAGGAGGAGGAGGAGGAGGAGGAGGAGGACGAGGATGAGTACGAGGAGGACGAGGAAGAGGAGGAGGAGGATGAGGAGGAGGAGGAGGAAACGGAGGACACGGAGGAGCAGGATGATGAAGGGGAGGCGAATGAGGATGCAGAAGAAAAGGAGGAGGCGGACGAATATGCGGGTACGGAGGATGGCATGGAGGATGCGGGAGGAGAGGAGGAGGAGGGGGAGGAGGAGGAGGAGGAGGAGGAGGAGGAGGATGCGGATGATGATGATGATGCTGCTGCTGCTGATGATGATGATGATGATGACGATGATGATGATGATGATGATGATGATGATGATGATGATGATGATGATGAGGAGGAGGAGGAGGAGGAGGAGGAGGAGGAGGAGGAGGCGGAGGCAGGAGCAGGAGGCACGGTGAGGCAGGACGAGGCCGAAGGAGGAGGAGGATGAGGCGGAGGAGGAGGATGAGAAGGATGCACGAGGAGGAGGAGGAGAAGCAGGAGGAGGAGGAGGGGGAACGAGGAGGAGAAGCAGGACGAGGAGGAAAAGGAGGAGGAGCAGGAGGAGGACAAGGAGGAGGACGCGGAGGAGGAGCAGGCGAAGGAGGTGGATGAGGCGGAGGAGGATGATCGGATGAGGGGAGAGGAGGATCGGACGAGGAATACGAATAATGCTAATCGTACTATTCGTAATACTATTAATACTAATACTACTACTAATAGTAATACTTGTAGTACGAATGCTAATATTAATCACACGAATCGTACTATTCCTAATACTAATAGTACGATTGATACTGCTAGTACTAATACTAGTACTAATGCGAGGAGGAGGAGGAGGATGAAGCGGAGGAGGAGGCGCTAGGAGCGAGGCGCGAGGAGCGAGGGATGAGGAACGAGGAACAAGGAGCACGGAGTGAGCAGCGAGGAGCGAGGAGCGAGCAGCGAGGAGCGAGGAGCGGGGAGCACTGGGCGAGGAGAAGCGAGGAGCGAGGCGCGAGGAGCGAGGAGGAGGAGGAGGAGGAGGAGGCGGAGGAGGAGGAGGAGGAGGAGGAGGAGGAGGAGGAGGAAGAAGAAAAGGAGGACGAGGACAAGGAGGAGGAGGAGGAGGAGGAGGAAGGACGAGGCAATCCTACGATGACCCCGCGGCGGCGTGTGGGGCGCTACGACAGACGTGCCTGTGCCCCCATGCTCTCCGCCAGAGCGGCGGCGAATCGGCGACGCAGGCTCCTTTTCCGCTTCCCGCTCCTACATCCACCTGCTGCGCCCTCCTCCCTTGTCGTTCCCTTCGCCTTCCTCCTCCTCCTCCTCCTCCTCCTCCTCCTCCCTTCCCTCCTCCTCCTGCTCTTGATTCACCCCCTCCTCTCTCATCCTCAACTCCTCCCTCCTCCTTTCTCCTCGTCCTCCGCCTCCTCCTCGTGGGGTCCGCATTGGCGCGCCGCAGGCCCCACTTGGGTGGTCACCCCAAAAGCACAGGAGTCTTATTGCCTTGCTTTCTCCTGTCAGTGGTTGTGGCTTCACCTGCCCAAGCACGAGGTGGTCGTTCTGCTTAAAGCCCAACCATCTCAGGAAATTGTACGGCTGACCACCCGTCAGGATGGGTAAGCCGCATGCCCCATCTGGATGGCCAGTTTCCTTTTGCCTGTCGGTGGTTGTGGCTCCTACCTGCGTCGCCTGTCAGTGGGTTTGGCTTCCACCTGTTCGGGGGGATCATCGTGCTTCACAGTCCTGGGGCGGCCCTTTTCCAGATTTCGCGTGTCGGTGGGTGTAGATTCCAATTGGTGCCCTTTCGCATGTCGGTGGGCGTGGTTTCCACCTGGTCCGTTCGCCTGTCGGTGGGCGTGGCGTCCACCAGTTCTTCCTTTCACCTGTCGGTGGGTGTGGCTTCTACCTGTTCCACCCAGCGCGAGCTGGATGTTCATACCAAAGCCCCACCACCTCAGTGAAGCGCTGCTGCTGACCACCCGTCCGCATGGGCGAGCCGCAGGCCCCTCCTGGGTGGTCACCCGGCCTGTCGGTGGATGTGACTTCCACCTGGTCCTTCACCTGTTGGTGGGCGTAGCTTCCACCTGTTCTCTTTTCGCCTGTCGGTGGGTGCGGCTTCCACTTGCCCGCGTCGTGAAAAACGACGGCTTATGCCAGTCGGTGGGTGTGGCTTCAAGACTCCCTTCCTCTCGCCTGTCGGTGGGTGTGGCTTCCACCTGGTTTTCGTCTGTCGGTGGGTGTTGCTTCCAGCCGCTCCCGACTGGTAGGGCACCCTCGTCCTAATCGTCACCCCTGACGATCCTCCTCCTCCTCCTCCTCCTCCTCCTCCTCCTCCTCCTCCTCCTACTCTTCTTGTCTTCGTCCTTCCCATCATTTTCTCCTGCACCTCCTCCTCCAGTATCTTCCTCCGTATTTGTGCTATCCTCCTTCGTCTTCTTCTGCCCGTGGGGTCGATCGGGCTGGGGCCGGAGAGTACCTTTTACTGTTTTTGAGCATTTTTGGAATATTTGTGTTTCTTAATTTTTCGTTCAAAAATCCCCCTGTAGGGGGACAGGCCCGACTTAAGTCTAGTCATCTGCTGTCCGTCCGTTTGTGCCCTGTGCCCCGTGGCTGCCTGCATGTCTGCGTGCTGACCGTACGCCCCCCTGCGACGGCAACGCCGACGACGACGAGGAGGACGCCGAGGAGGACGACGAGGAGGACGACGAGAGGGAGGAGGAGGACGAGGACGAGAAGGACAGGAGGAGGAGGAGGAGGAGGAGGAGGAGGAGGAGGAGCAGGAGGAGGAGGAGGAGGAGGAGGAGGAGGAGGACGAGGACGAGGACGAGGAGGAGGAGGAGGACGACGAAGACGAGGAGGATTAGGAGGAGGACGACGACGACGAAGACGAATGCGACGACGCTGCCCCCTGCGGGCGGCGCTGTGGCCGCGCGGCGGCCACTGGGCGGACGATCTCCACCCCGCGTGCTCGGAGAGAGCTTCCTGGCAGCCCTCTGGCTCAAGCAGTGGCGAAGCGTCCTGGCTCGTGTGCAGGCCCACCACGATGTTCCAAGAGCCTCTCGTGGTCTGCTCGAGCTGTTCGCTCAGAGCATTTCTGGCTGAGCCTGTCTTGCTTCGACACATCGGGTTTCGGTCCAGGGAGCATGGCGTCTGTTCTTGGAGGATCTCTGGGTTCTACGAAAATGTCGTGGTAGGCCTATAGGAAGGCCGGGACGGTCGGCCCCTGCTCAATTGGCAGCAACGTTTCGGGGGCGGCCAAGAGGGGAGTGATGACGACCAGGGGGGGGGGATCACGGCGGGGTCCAGTATACTTTCCCAGATGTCATGGTGCTTCTTCTTCTTCTTCTTCTTCTTCTTCTTCTTCTTCCAATGCTTCCCTGGCACCCCCTTGGGCCGCGCACGTGCCGCTGGCCATGATTTGCGCCTCCCCCGCTTGAGCGCTTCTCCCCTGGACAGCCCCGAAGCGCGATTGACTGCCCGGAGCGAGCGGGCACGCTGGAAGGTGAGCCTCCGGGCAAGCGTTCTGGCACCAGCGCCGGCCACACGAGGCGCGCTGGGCGCGATCGGGCGCGCACGACAGGGGCTTCTTGGCCGACAGCGCTGGCCACGCGCTGCCCGCGGGCTTTGAGCGGGTACTCCAGATTTCGTAATAAAAGGGAGGGGGTCTGGACCCTCCAAGACAAGCCATTTCAGATCCCCCCCCCCGTGGGAGAACCCTCCAGAACATCGTCCCCAGACCCCCCCAGGCCCTCCAAGATAGCCTGGAAGAGACCCCCCCCCGAAATGAGACCCCCTCTCTTTTATTACGAAATCTGGACTATGTATGGAGTCTTCTTCCTGGCCGTAGCGCTGCCAGCGCAAAGTGTGCCGCAAGCGGGCGGGCACGCTCGGGAGGCCCACAGGAGGCTCACGGCAGGGACGCCGCCAACGGGCACCTGTATGTTCGGATGTAGTAGAGTCGACAGTGCGAACATTCTAGGCAAGCCAAGCTAGAAAAAGACATGGGGTGCCGAACCCCTTTCGGCAAGCCGAGCTAGGGTAGACGGTGTGAACCCTCTAGACAAGCCAGCCGTATAAAAGGGGTATCTGAGTTATTCGCAGAGTTCGGCCTCCTGGCTTTTCTTCCGGTACAGAACAGTCAAAATAACTCGAGGTGAAAAGCTGGTCCCAGGGAAACAGCAAGAGGCCGTTTCACTCAGTCCGCCGCTCGCTCTTGCCGCTGTCCCCGTCCGGCCGTCTGCCTGTCTGTTCTTCTGTCCCTCTTTGACTCTGATGCTCTCTGCAACCCTCGCCTTCGCCGTGGTTTCTCTCCGCACTTAGTCGGATGGGGCTAGGACGAGGATACATCCGTTCCAGAGCGTTTCGGAACGCGCTGAGAGCGTTCCAGGACGCTCCGAGAAGGCCGCGGCGCCCGAGACATCCTCCAGAGCTGCGGGATCTCAGAGATTCTCGATTCACCCTCATCCAAGTTTATCCTCGTCCCGGTTTCGTCTTACTGCAGCTCTCGCCTTCGCCGTGGTCTCTCCGCATTGAGTCGAGCCGATGCCGTGTGCATATTAGGAATTCGGTGCGCTGGATTTTTCGTGGGAGGCGAGTCCACTCTTTCGCGTGCTCACTGGAAGGCCAGTAGCGCAGATCGTGGACTTTGCGCAGCCGCCCCCTTCTTCTCTCCTGGGCTCGACTCGCAGCATCCGCAGCTCTGACCTCTTGGGGCACATTTGCCAGTCGGCCCGCCAACTCGCGCCTGCAACTCACGATAGGGCCATCCTTGCCATAATGCGTGCCCCTCACTGGTCCTCGCAGCTCTGTGTAGCGTCTTTCCCAGGAAGCCCGAAGTCGGGAGGAGAAGTCCAACCCTATCTACCCCTTCACCCTCCCGTCCCCTCCCTCCCTTCCGTCCCTTTGAGGTGAGTATGGATGTGGACGCGGGTGCCGACTGGCAAGGCTCAGGGTTGCGCACAGACGCCCCCCCTAGAGGAAGGCCTGGCTGGCATCAACAGGCTCCGCTGTAGTCCGTGGCGGTCTTAGGACCTGGGCGCCGCTTCCAGCGGCGCCACCTTGGGCGCTCGGCGTCCTTGGGGGGGTGCTGCGACCGCCCCAGGCCAACCTTCGGAGTCTGCTGAGGCCAGCCTTGGCCACCTGCCTGTGCCGCACCACTCATTGCTAGGTGAGGACGAAGCTGGATACGGGTCGGACAACAGGATGTGCTCCTCGCCCGTCAGCTAGATGGAGCAACATCAGTATGTCTTTCTCGCCCGTCGGACAACCCCATCAGCGCATCACTGCCAAGCACGCACGAGGGTCTTGCACAACAGCGAAGGGGTACCGCCCGCAGTCTGAGAGACGACGCGCGTGCCATGGATGTTTTTCCTCCCTCCGAGCGGGGGCCGGCGCTGCGGCCCACCCCCTCAGGGGGCTGCGGTCTGGGCGAAGGACGTGCAGGAATCGTCGGCGCGGCCCGCCTCCCGCATGTCCCGCGGCCCCGCCTCTGGCGTGGGCGAGCTGCGCCTGCAGGGCCGGCTGCCGCCCGACGTCCGGTCTCAGGGCTCCAGGGACGGGGGTCAATGCAAGCGGGGGCCCGTCAGAGCGCCGGATCTTGCAGGATCCTGCAGGGCCAGGGGTGCATTGACTCTGGTTTGGGTGCGGGATCCTGCCGGATCCTGCAGGATCTTGCAAGATCCTGCAAGGCCTGACTGACCCGGGTCTGGATTGACCCGGGTCGGTGCGTCCCCGACAGTTCCGACCGCGTGTCGAGGAAGCCCGGCCATAGCTGAGGGCGCGTGGACGAGCGACGGTTCCCGTCTCCATGCCACTTCGACGCGCTGCGTCGCCAGATCGGGCGGCGCCGGCTTCATGTTTCGCCCCGATGCGTGGACTTGGCGCCCACGCGCCAGAGCCACGGATTCGTAGTCCATTTTGCCGTACGCCCGATCATGGGAGAGGCGATGCCAGGAGCGTTCTGACGCGGGACTGGTGCAGGCGGCACTCCCGGAGGCGACGGTGTTGGAGGGTAGACGCCGACGGCCCCGCCATTGGCGTAGTAGCAGCAGCACGCCTGGCAACCGACCCGGAAGGACAACGGGCTGCTTGGGCAGTGTTTGGTGGGCGCAGCTACCGTGGGACGACTTCTTGGCGAGCGCGGCCGCCACGCACACGTGCAGATCCTGGGCACAAGGCACGGCGTGGTTCCCCTGGCTACGCGGAAGTCGCTGGCTGGAGGTAGTCCAGCACACCTCGGGGTGCGGGGAGACGAAGGACAATTTGGTGCTGGACCGACCCACTCCTCCTTGACGCCATCCACGCGGCTGCGAGGTGTGCAGGGCTGCTGGAGGAAGGCCTGGCGTGGGCGCGTTCTGGACTCTCCCGCGGCGCCGGCTGGGCACTGGCCGGGTGCCCAGAGCGGCTGCCGCGGGGGAAGCCAACGCGACCGCGCTACAGGCGCCCCTGAAGCAGGGCTGATCCGCAGACGACGCTGCGCGGAGCTCTGCTGCGGCGCTGGTGCCACGAGGGGCTTATCCTCTCGCCGAGGTGTCCCTCGCCGCCAAAGGCGCCACTGCGCTTCTAGACCTTGGGGCTGCCTTTCCTGCATAGTCCTGCACAGTTCCGCTTCGGCGCTGTCCTCTCCCCACGGGCGGGCCGGACGGGCGCAGCTCAGCAGCGGCGCCCTCCTCGCCTGCCTCAAGGGGCGCGCCCTGCAGGAGACGTGCGCTCCTCCGGCGGACGGGGCTGCGGCGGGGGCTGCGGCTCCCCGCGCGCCAGGCAGAGTCGGCAGGACAGCTCTGGGTCTCCCAAGGGGTGTCCGAGGAGATGGTGTGGGTGGATCATCGAGAGCAAAGGAGCCCCTAACCCTGATGACGCGATGAAGACGTGGCCCCGCTGAGGTCCCCGTCTTCGCATTACGGATAACAGATCTGGGCGGCTTGGTCCGATACATCTGCAGAAAGAAAAACGAAGCCCCTGTCCCTGATGCTCTGGCCCTCCTGACTTAGGTCACCTCCCAAAGGGTTTAGGGATCACTTCTGTTGCTTACCGGGTGGATCGCGCCGCATCGCCGATGCATCGGGGATGCAGGAATCGAGAAGCATCGACAAGTCGTACACATCTCTTTGGTTTTTGTTGTGGCCATGTTTGGATGTTCCTCCTGTGAAGATCGGGCCGGGCGAAAGGGGGGGATTGGGAAAGGGGGGGTTACGACATTTGCTGCATGCAGCTGGTTTCGGCCTCACCGAGGGCCGCATTCCTCGATACATGGCCGCCTCCTGCGCCTGGAGGCGCCGGGAAAATCAGCTACGTGAGCTGATTTTCAAACCCCCCCTTTGCTATCCCCCCCTTTCGCCCGACCCGAGAAGAAGGACAGGCCCGATTGAAACACTCGGGAGGCCTCTCACAGTGCGAGGGCGGGGGGCGCCCGCTGCTCGGCGCGCGGCTGCGGCGGGCGCCCGTTCCGCGAGCGAGGGGCCGCGCCGTGGCCTGCCGGGCTGGGCGGTGGGGCGCCTGCATCGGGAGCCCTGCGACGGGGGTCAATGCAAGCGGGGGTCAGTCCAATCCCTCTCCTCCTCCTCCTCCTCCTCCTCCTCCTCCTCCTCCTCCTCCTCCTCCTCCTCCCGCTCCTCCAAATCCCCATCGGGCCTCGGGAGACGGGGTTCCACACAAACGGGGGTCAGCCAGAGCGCCCGATCCTGCAGCATCCTGCAGGGCCGGGGCCGCATGGACCCTGGCCTGGGCGCAGGATCCTGCAGCGCCCTGCAGGATCCTCCGCGTGGACCCGGGCTTGGGGTGCAGGACCTCGCAGGACCTTGCAGGACCTTCTGCAAGGCCTGACGGACCAGGGTCTGCTGCTGTCGCCGCCTCCGTCATCAGCAGACTGCTTCAGGGGTTGAGAAATGAAAAAAAAAACAAGTAGGAGGGGGAGAGGAGGAGGAGGAGGAGGAGGAGGAGGAGGAGGAGGAGGAGGAGGAGGAGGAGGAGGATGAGGAGGAAGAGGAGGAGGAGGAGGAGGGAGGATGGAGGAGGAGGAGGAGGAGGAGGAGGAGGAGGAGGAGGAGGTGTGAGGAGGAGGAGGAGGAGGAGGAGGAGGAGGAGGAGGAGGAGAGGAGGAGGGAGTGGAGGAGGAGGAGGAGGAGAGGAGGAGAGAGGAGGGAGGTGAGGAGGAGGAGAGGAGGAGGAGGAGGAGGAGGGGGAGGGGAGGGGGAGGAGGAGGAGGAGGAGGAGGAGGAGGAGGAGGAGGAGGAGGAGGAGGAGAGGAGGAAGAGGAAGAGGAAGGAGGAAAGGAGGAGGAGGAGGAGGAGGAGGAGGAGGAGGAGGAGGAGGATGAGGAGAGGAGGAGGAGGAGGGCGGAGGAGGAGGAGGAGGAGGAGGAGGAGGAGGAGGAGGAGGAGGAGGAGCAGGAGGAAGCCAAAAAGGCCAGGAGATCCCCGAGTGTAGCCGCTCGACCCCGCGCGCCGGCGACCCGCGGGATCTGGCGCGCGCTTGCGTGGGTCCTCGGCTGCGGTCTGCGGCGCGCCCGGCCGCCGCCGCGCGCCGGCTCCACGGGTCGCCGGGCCCGCGCGAGGCGGCCCAAGGGGGGCCACTGCGATCCCAGATCCTGGAGCGCATCAGCGCGCACCTTCCACGGATCCCATTCGCATCCTCCGCCTCCTCTTCCAGGATGGCCTGTCGGCAAACCGTTGGAGGCAAGGCGTCGTGGGATCTCGTCACGGAGGACTCTTCTTGTATTACCACGAAATGGGCATTGACCAGCATCACCCATCACCCGTTCTCTTTCCAGAGCACTTCGTAACTTCACCATGTCGTATGTTGTCCAATGTTGTGCTGACATTTGCGATCAGCAACACTACGCTGCATTGCGGTTTACCCACCCAGTGCATCCACTGTTGTGTTTCTGGCTTACCCTATAGAGTACATAATTTGGATATATATATATGTATATGTATATATATATGTATAAGGGTTTATATTTCTGGGCATCTACACACGTATAATTATGTATATTTTTTCCGAGCATGTCCATCCGAGTCTTGTTAAGTCCAGTTCCATCAGTACCATCATGTGTTATCATGACGTACCCCTTGCGTTTTTATCGTGCACGACCCAATCCCGCCCTATCGCACCCTGCCCTGCCCCATCATATCCTCCTCCTCGCAAGCGTTCTAAGACTTCCAGAAAACGCCCAGGCCTGAACCCACCCCGGAATAGTTCCAGGCATTCACCGAACACCTCCAGACACCCGCAAGGGCAGTTCCCTTGTTTTTGCGGCCTCCCCTGTCTCCCCCTGAGCAATGGTTCTCGTGCCTCCCCCCTGCGGCGTTTGTCTGACATGGCTTTTCAGGGATGCCAGTAAGCGGGGTGAACGGCTGGGCGGGAGGGGAGCGGGGGCAGGGTAAGTAGCCTGGGCAGCTGCGGGAGCATGAGCAGCTGGACCTGCAGCCGCTTACTCTGCTGGCCTTGAGCCTCAGAAGAGCCAGATTCAGGTTTAGCTCGAATGGCCTGAGGGTGCGTGGCAAACCGCCCCAGGGGGTCGGGAAAAGTAGGAGAGGGAGGGGGGAAGAGGTGGGGAAGCTAGTAGTAGTAGTAGTAGTAGTAGTAGTAGTAGTAGTAGTAGTAGTAGTAGTAGTAGTAGTAGTAGTAGTAGTAGTAGTAGTAGTAGTAGTAGTAGTAGTAGTAGTAGTAGTAGTAGTAGTAGTAGTTAGTAGTAATAGTAGTAGTAGTAGTAGTAGTAGTAGTAGTAGTAGTAG